TCCTATGTCTCACAGAGGCAACTTGTTTCTCGTTAGCATAGAGCTTTTTGCATAATGCAACTTTGTGAGGAAATAGTAGATTTGAGATTTGAGGGAAAAGCACTGCTTCTCTTGGAAACAGTCTTGCTAGAGCACTTGTTTATAATTGCTATAAAATAAGTTGGTAGATACAAGTATCCCCATACCTGGACTTTATTCGCCCCAACCCAGGAGGCCCACAGGCATAAGAAGGTCCATGTGGCAAGATCTTCCTCTTGGGAATCACTCTGCTCACGGCCAACAGCCATCTTGTCTTCTCCTACAGCCCAGGCAGAAGTCTGTGATAGGCATCTTCTAGACGCTAGTCGCAAATGTTGGAATGGAAGAGTGGAAAATGATCAGAAATTAATAGTTCAGGTTTCTCTGGGAGGCTGGAGGTTAGAGTTGATTGACCTCTGATCTTCCTCCTTTCCTTTTCCTGCTTGGAAGAGTCCAAAGTCATAAAGGGAGAGGTCTGCTCACAGGAGCCCATGACAGTGGCCGCCACTGACTTCTTCGTAGAGCAGCAGAGACAAGGGCTTGAAGTACGGGTAAGTTCTTACACTCTTCTTGCCAAGTGTTGTGATTCAGAAAGATTAAGGTAGGGCACACCTAATTTATCATTTTCATTTGCAGTGTCTCTTCTTTCATATTTTATTGAAGCATCATACACTCATATATGCAGAAAATCATACACCATAAGTGTATAGCTTGATTATTTAAACTGAACACATCTGTGTAATCAGCACACGGTCAGGAGGGCGAGCATTACTTCACCCCGACCCCTTCCCATTGCGTCAATGACAAGGCTTTTCATAATAAAACCGAAGCGCAGATCTTGAAGGAAACCATTCTTTTCAAGTCCTTCCCTTCTTTACCTTATTCCTAGGATCTTTTGGAAAATAAGCTAAAAATCACAGTGACGTGGGGGTGCCCAGGTTAGAAGCTGCAATCATTAGTCAGGGGCAGAAACACAATCACTTCCTGAGTTCACTGTGCGTTTTCATGTTAGTAGTTGTCTCTGTGTTCTCCACTAAGCTCTAAGAAAACCTCTTGGAGTTGACTGCTTTAAATAAAGGTAAGACTTTTTTTTTATTAATTCTTTTTAACACTTCAACAGAATCTGCCAGAATTATTGAATCTCCCACGAACATCCATCAGTGGTGAGTGAGGAAGGCACATGGTAAATCAAGCGGAAGCACAGTGAGCGTGAGGAACCAGGAGCCTGGCTTCCAAATATCCTAAATACGATGTCAGTAGATGCACAGCAAACTCCTGAGAGGTCCACACTTCCATTCCCAAAGGAAAACATGAGGAGCAGAAACATGGGTCTTTCAACTACATGCAGCCCAGTCTGACATCCAAAGGGAAGGTCAGTGAGAAGGGGAGTCAACCCGGTTTCCCCAAAATCCGGTGACAATTTCAAGCTCAAGTATTATCATTTTGCCAGGAGGGGACGATCCTTTCACCCTTTAATCAAATGACAAGCCAAGTGAGGCAAAGAGAGTTCCAGAATTAATTGCAAAGCACACCAAAGCAGATCAAGCTAAAATAAGCAAAAGGAAGGAATGAAAAGATAGAGAAGAAGAAGCATAAGAAAAGTGCTCAAGCACAGGGTGCTAGCAAGGAGTGAAACACCATGCACTCATGGAGGAAATTTCCAAATGGCCCAAGAAATGGCCCTTCAATGTGAAGCTCCGTGGTCCAAAGCCAACAAGCTTTCAGCAATGAAGTCAAGGTTTTGCACTCCAGCAAAGCCTCTGGCTATCATTGCCTCTTCGGAGTGAATTCTTGCAGGGAGTGGAGTCACAGTGAGATCTGTTTCCAAAGGTAATTTGAAGGTACCAGCACTTATTGCCCATTTATAACATTATGTGCTTCTGGATGACAACCTCGGATGGATATCTCCCGGACCCCATGTATCTTACTTGTATTTGGGTGCACAGTTATTGGTGTGGCTGTTAGTCAGCTAGAGTGAAGCCACCAGCCTCCTTTGCCAATGTCTCATAGCTGTAGATGTGGCTGTCAGTCAGGGTGAAAGAATGGGCCTCCTGGCTCTCAGCCGGCCATTGGCTCGGCTACAGCTTGTGTTACAAGAGCTCAAAATGGAGTTAGGGCTATCAAAGCCTTGTCATATTAATCTCGATTAAAATACCAATTTACATATATTTGCAAGAATCATAGCACAGCAAAACACACATCACAATAAGAGGTGAAGGACAAGAGCTTTGGACTTAGTCACTGGCTTCAGTCGTGTCTTTACCTTGGGTTCTTTAAAAATGGCATTCAGCTCAGTTTCTGTGTCTGTAAATTAGGATAATATTATTTTCTTTAGAAGATTGCAGGGGCTGGTGCTGTTGCGTAGCAGGTAAAGCAGCTGCCTTCATCCCATATGGGCGCCGGTTCAAGTCCTGGCTGCTCCTCTTCCTACCCAGCTCTCTGCTATGCCCTGGGAAAGTAGTAAAAAAATGGCCCAAGAGCTTGGGCCCCTGCATCCCCATGGGAGATCCAGAGGAAGCTCCTGGGTCCTGGCTTTGGATCGGTGCAGCTCTGGCCATTGTGGCTAATAGGGAGTGAACTAGTGGATGGAAGACCTCTCTCTCTCTCTCTCTCTCTCTCTCTGCCTCTCCTTCTCTCTGTGTGTAACTGACTTTCAAATAAATAAATAACTCTTTGAAAAAAAAAAGAAAATTGCAGTTAAACTCAAATGTGATGATATATGTGAAGTGCTAGGCAAATTACATGGTATGGGGTAAATGTGCAATAGATCAGTAAATCTTATGATTTTGTAAGAGCCTGTTGTCTAAGAAAAAGACCAAGGGCATCTTAAATAGAGCAATGCAACCCTTGAGCAGTTTTTGAAGACTTGAAACAACTGACCAGGATTTGAGGACAGAATTTAGATCTATACACACCTGTTGGTAATGTCTGTAATCAAGTTGGCATTGTGTGGTGTTGACACCCTGCAGACACTACCTCCTGATGGAGCAGGATGCCCATAGAGCACTGTCTCCAGCCACAAGATCATTCTGGGGCTGGCGCTGTGGCGTAGCGGGTAAAGCCACTGCCTGCAGTGCTGGCATTCCATGTGCATGCTGGTTTGAGACCTAGCGGCTCCACTTCCGATCCAGCTCTCTGCTATGGCCTGGGAAAGCAGTAGAAGATGGCCAAGTCCTTGGGCTCCTGCACCCACGTGGGAGACCCAGAGGAAGCTCCTGGCTCCTGGCTTTGGATCAGCACAGCTCCCACCTTTGTGGCCAACTGGAGAGTGAACCATCGGATTGAAGATCTCTCTCTCCCATTCCTCTCTCTGTGTGATTGACTTTCAAGTAAATAAATTTTTTTAAAAAAGAGAGAGATCATTTTAAGGTTCAAAATGAGATAAGGGGAGATTGGATAATTTCTCCCACTCTCTGGATATTTTAGATGGAATCGGGGTCCGTTTTAATGTCTTTTAACCGTAGATTAGCGAGAGATGAAATGGTTATTGGGAACAAAAGTTGAATCTAGCACAGTTCCCTAATAACCTCTGTGGCTATCATACGGCCCCTTCATCACGTCATCTCCATCCTGTCAGCCTCCTGGCTCTCCGTCCACTGCTGCACTGTGTGACTGCTCCAACTCTCCAACTGCTGCTTTCAGCTACACTGGCCAGTGCTCCATTGTTCCTCGTGCTCTGTGTTTCTCTCTGACCCATGTCCTAGGCTCAGAGCCTCATGTCCACCACTTACCAGTTGTCCAAAGTTGGGCAGATTCTTGAATTCTGTAAACTTCAGTTGTCTCCTCAATCAGCGGGGCTCTTGACAGCACTCTGCTGGTGGGGCTATGTTGGAAAATAAATGAGATAATGCATGCAAATGGCTTCAGACAGAGCCCAGTACTTAGTGAGCACTCAAGAAATGGTCACTGCAGTTGTTATTGTCACAGTTGCCACCACCGCTATCATCCTCATCAAATCCCGAGGCACACAAGTCTTATCAACAATCTCTCTAAGGTCCCTGTAGTGTGGTTCTGTATCCTGAGTTGCTTTAAATGTGCAATTTGGAATTTGCCTCTCTAGGTCATGCGGTTACCTACTGCATTCCCAGCTGCCTAGCCAGTCTACTCATCCACCTCAGTATTCTTGTTTTCATTCTGCATCTGAACACCCAGGTGAAAAGTAAAATTTTTAACAAACATAGCCAAATGTTCAGATGATCAGTCATGTCACACCAACCACTGAAGTTGACTGAAATTTTCAGTCTGCATTTGGATGTTGGGCAGACTAGCAATCAGACAACGCAATCTTATCCTAGACAAGTTTAGGAAGAAACAAATCACTTTGATGAGGTCAATTTGTCACAACTTGTTGATGTAGAAGACATTTTGATGAATCAAGCAATTTTAAAAATTGTTTTTAACCAAAAATGGATGTGTCACATATCCCTGGAATATGATGGATGGAATAAAGACTAGAAACGGGATAAGGATACCTCTTGCAGACATAATTTATGGTTCCATGATATTTTGAAAAATTAAAGTATAAAGCACATTCAATGAAACTCACTAACTGTAAAATTTAATGAATGTGTTTTCTAATATATATGCTACTGCCATATTGAGATACAGTAGTGTCTATCACCCTGGAAACTTCCCTCATATCCTTTTGCAGTAAGTTCCCATGCTCCCCATATCTTCCCTGTATTTTTCAACAACTGATCTGCTTTCTTGCACTGTAATTCTGGGTTTTCCAGAATTTTATGTAAATAAAATCATATGATACAAAGTCTTATTCCTGGATTTTTTCAGTAAGCATAATTCTTTTGAGATTCAGCATGTTGCTGCCTGTATCAGTGGTTCGTGCCTTTGTATTATTGAGTAATAATCCACCACACCACAGTTTGTTTATCCACTCACCGGGTGATGGGTATTTTTGTTCTTTCTATCTTTTGGCTATTTAAAAAAATGGTGCTATTAATATTAGATTTCTCGTTGTTTCACAGACAGCTGATTCCATTTCACTTGGATCAACACCTAGGAGGGGGAAGTCCAGGTTGTTTAGTAAGTATAGATTTAAGCTCCTCTGAAACTCACACTGTTCTGCCTATTGGTCAGAACATTCCATATTCCCAGCACCAAAGTATGAGTGTTCCAGCTCCCTAGTTTCACCCACGAATTTTTATGTCTCATCTTCCTTATTTGAACTAATCAAGTGTGTTTGCAGTTTCATTGTGATTTTACTTTTCGGTTCCCGAATGACTATGCTTTGAGCATCTTTTCATGGGTTCCTAGGCCATCTGCACATCTGTTGAAAGACTCTCTTCAAATCCTTGGCTCATTTGTTTTGCTATTATTGTTTCAGAGTCCTTTACCTATTCTTGACATCCTTGATCAGACACAACTCTTGCCATTGTTTTTCCCGGTCTGTGACTTGCCTTTTGGTTTTTATTGTGGAAGTTTTTGAAGAGCAGACTTTTTTTTTAACATACTTTTTTTAAAGATTTGTTTATTTATTTGGAAGTCAGAATTACACAGAGAGGAGAGGCAGAGAGAGAGGTCTTCCCTCAGTTGGTTCACTCCCAAATTGGCTGCAACAGCCAGAGCTGTGCCTATCCGAAGCCAGGAACCAGATGCTTCCTCCCAGTCTCCCATGTGGATGCAGGGGTCCAAGGACTTGGCCTTCTTCTACTGCTTTCCCAGGCTATAGCAGAGAGCTTGATGGGAAGTGGAGCAGCTGGGTCTCAAACTGGTGCCCATATAAGATGCCAGCGTTTCAGGCCAAGGCATAATCTGCTGTGCCACAGAGCCAGCCCCGAAGAGCAGAAATTTTTAATTTTGATGAAGTTCAATATACCAAAATTTTAGATGGCTTCCATTTTTTGTGTCCATTAAATAAACTTGCTTACTTCAAAATCATAAAGACTTTTAATTTATGTTGTCTATTGGAATTTTATATTTTCACTCTTGTATATAGATTTAAGATTCATTTTGTCTTAATTATTTTATATCACAAAGTAAGATTGGGATTCATTTATTTGTACATGGAAGTTCATTTTTTCATCAGAACTATTTTGTTGAAGGTTATCTTTTTTTTTTTTGGACAGGCAGAGTTAGACAGTGAGAGAGAGAGAGAGAGACAGAGAGAAAGGTCTTCCTTCTGTTGGTTCACCCCCAAAATGGCCACTACGGCCGGCCTACTACGTCCAGTGCACTATGGCCAGAGCTGCGCCGATCTGAAGCCAGGAGCCAGGTGCTTCCTCCTGTTCTCCTATGCAGGTGCAGGGCCCAAGGACTTGGGCCATCCTCCACTTTGCACTCCCGGGCCACAGCATAGAGCTGGCCTAGAAGAGGAGCAACCGGGACAGAACTGGCGCCACAACTGGGACTAGAACCCGGGGCACCAGCGCCGCAGGCAGAGGGTTAGCCAAGTGAGCCACAGTGACAGCCTGAAGGTAATCTTTGAATCAGCTTTATGCACTGTGTAATTATGAAAAAGCTAGAAGCTCTGTTTTTTTTTTTCAGTTGTGCCAAAATATCTTCTTCAAAAGCGTGGTGCTGTTTTTTAAAAATTAGTAAATTATTGGAAAGAGGCCCGAAGATATGTATGTAAAGATGGTTATTATAACATTTTTATAACAGCAAAAGCTGCCAACAATTATAGGAAATGAAAGATTTCTTTTTCCTTACCCTCTGTTTTATGTTTTTATGGTTGAGACACTATATTAAAAGACACACTAACAAGAGAGAAGCATATAATTGTTATTTAATATAAATTTCATGAGATAGAGGTGCCTTCAGAAACAAAGACCCAAAGAAGGCTGAGTACTTTTATGCCAAGTTTGATGAAGAAGTAGATGCTTGGATGAGTGTGATGTAGTGATAACAAAATGGGGAGAATCTGCAAGGTGTTTTCTTCAGAATCCACTCTGCATCCCTGCTCATTCTGAAATGCATCTGTCCCTTTCCTCTAACTATAGGGAAGTCATTTCTCACATCAGGGACTTCTGACTTACTTCCATGGAAGGCCAGAAAATTCTTTCTAGGTTTTATGGTATATTTTAGGGCAGACAAGCTGTAAAAGATCAGGGAGATTTTCCTACCTCTGTGGTCTTTTCGAATGTTGTACTTTGTAGTGGTGTGTCCTGAATCCCATCACAGTCTAAGTGTTTTACTATACGAGGGAAATCAAAACATCATGGCGGCCGGCGCCGCGGCTCACTAGGCTAATCCTCTGCCTGCGGCCCCTGCACCCCGGGTTCTAGTCCCCATCGGGACACCAGATTCTGTCCCGGTTGCTCCTCTTCCAGTTCAGCTCTCTGCTGTGGCCAGGGAGTGCAGTGGAGGATGGCCCAAGTGCTTGGGCCCTGCACCCCATGGGAGACCAGGAGAAGCACCTGGCTCCTGGCTTCGGATCAGCATGGTGCGCCGGCCGCAGGGGCCATTGGGGAGTGAACCAACGGAAAAAGGAAGACTTTTCTCTCTGTCTCTCTCTCACTGTCCACTCTGCCAGTCAAAAAAAAAAAAAAATCACAGCATACTCATATAGTATATTTTTAGTAAAAATCTTGATATCGATTTACATACAAGGAAAGTTACAATATGTTTTCAAGTTTAAAGGAATGAGTGATCACAAATAAGATGCCCAAGATTCTGTGTTTTTTTTTTTTTTTTTTTTTTGCAAAAGCAAAAGTAACAATAAAAAAGTCATCATTTATATGTATAGATAAAACAAAGATGTAGAGTAGCATACGGTGGTGTTTTGTTTGTTTTGATTTGGTGCTGAGATTCCAATCTATTTTTATATATATTTCTTTTTCAAAGAGTATAGATTACCTTTAAAGTCAGAGGAAAATTTTCTTTACACATCCTGTTCGTTGGTGGCAGCTTTGAAGGATTCCCGTAGGTGTCCCTAGGAGCACTGAAACCCAGCCCCTGACAGTACCCGCAGTGCAGATGCTAAATATCACCAGATCTGGTCTCCCCCAGGCTCCCAGCCTCCCTCTTTTAGCCGGAAGTTTTCTTGCCCTGCTTTCATGATTGCAAATAAGCCGCTAAACTTAACTCACTGGATTGAGGGAGTGGTACAGCCAGCCCTGTAAGCTTTCCGATCAACACTCAGATCATTTTTTTTCTGCTATAGATAACAACTTACTGTTCAGTCTTATCTCAAGGGATTTCTCTTCCAGGAACTCTAGGCCTGGAGCAAAAAAGTATCCCCATGACTCACTGAAGCACATTTGCCATCATTAAGATTCCCTAAAGAACACAATATCATCGACCGATAGAAGGAGGGTCATCAGCACCACCAACCAGCAGGGGACCAGGACACACACTGAACATGCTCCTGTCAACCCCAACTTCATTCCATAACAGCCTTCAACCCCAACTTCATTCCATAACAGCCTTTAGCTCAAACCCTCAGGAAGCCTGGGAAACAAGGGGTAGCTGCTGGCCTCCTTGCTCTGTACTTTGCAATAAACTCTTCCCCTTTTCCTCCACTCTGGTGTCAGTAGTTGGCTTCTGTGTAGTGGATGAGCGACTCAGTTTTAGGGGCTCTACAACAAGTCCTCCAATCAGTTTTGGAGGTGTTCTGTATCAATTTCTTTTTTATTATTATTATTAAAGGTCTTCCTTCTGTTGGTTCACCCCTAAATGGCCGCTACAGCTGGCACCCTGCACCGATCAGAAGCCAGGAGCCAGGTGCCTCCTCCTGGTCTCCCATGCGGGTGCAGGGCCCAAGCACTTGGGCCATCCTCCACTGCCCTCCCGGGCCACAGCAGAGGGCTGGACTGGAAGAGGAGCACCCAGGATAAAATCCGGCACCCTGACCAGGACTAGAACCCAGGGTGTAGGCGCGGCAGGCAGAAGATTAGCCCAGTGAGCCCTGGCGCTGGCCTGTATCAATTTCAATATGTAAAATTTCCACTTTAACTGCTTGTAGGTGCAAACTCTAGTGAAAGCCAGATACCAGCTGAAATCTGGATTGCTAGAGAGACCCAAGAAGGTTGACTGTGGCGAAGACTGAAAAGAATGAGGCATTTGGAGCTTCATTTCTATCCAAACACAAATTAGAATTAAGATTATCCATATGGTGATGCATCTGATTTTCCCCAATTACTCTTTCAACCCAAATAAGAGACAATGTCTGTGTCTCAACTCTTAATGATGTAATTTCTTACTATTTTAAGTACATGTTATATGCTCTATTTTTCTATTTATAGCACATATATGTGCATGTGATCACTCATGTGGCCATATGGTGGGATGAGACAGTAAATCTACTTGAAAAATTTTATTTTCCCAGAATATATTCTGCCTTCAGCTATTTGTGTACCATAACTCATCTTTTTACTCTCAGAACTTTGAGAAAGCCTTAAGTAAGCCTAAAGCTCTTGGAAGGCATGGGAAATAAGGAATACAGGAGAATTAAGTATATGTCACCACACTCAAGTGCAACAGAGCTGGACCAGAAGACTCCAGAAGAACAATGCACAAGGGAACTTCAATTTTTTTGTGGAAAAATGGAATTAAGAGGCAAATTTATTTTTGTTTCAATACAAACTGAACTCCATGCATAGTTTTAACAAAGCACGCATTTTCCTTGAGTGTTTGGAAGACGCTCGTACCTACAGTACTTGGCTCCAGGCTGAACTCTGACAGCCCCTGAGAAAGAACTGAAGAACAGGAGCCAGGGTCAGGTTTATGCTCTGGTGACCAAAGAGTGCAGTATTTTAATGTCAGGGGTCCTCACATCTTGTATGATGTGAAAATACTTAGAATCCCAAGCACTATCTTATTTATCACCCAACAAATCTTTTTATTTCTCTGAGAGTTTGTTTTTAATATGGAGAAATTGGAGCTTGAGTACATGTCCAAGTGTAGACTGGACCCCAGCTCTTCAGATCAACGTCCCAGGCACACACTCACCTCCTCCCACGTCTCCTGTCTCCTCCCAGCTCCATGTGCTCCTCACCTCCCACTCTAAACTTGCTCCAAGAAAATGGCCAAGAAAGCTCTTAGTGAGCAGAAGAGAAACTGTATGTGAGCCAAAGGGAATATGAATAAAGCGTTTTATCCAAAACGACAGACCTCTGCTGATTTGTCCGTTCCTTCCCGTAAAATGTCCGTAAAGATCACACCGAGCAAGAGAGTGTGAATCAAGCCCTGGTATAACCACAGGCACATCAGAAGTTGCTTATAGGAAAACCCAGGTAACTTATTCAATGGGTATGTGTTGCTTCTTGGCACATATCAGACACATGGTACAATAAATTACATTCTCATTCATACTTGGTACACAGGAATTTTGGTAATGGGGGTAGTGATATTAGGTAATTGGCATGAACACATATAGAGTTATTTAATGCTTGAAAACTGATACATAAGATAATAAAACTGGTATATAAGATAGCAAAACTCAGAGTTTTGCACACATACGGTGCTTGTAATTTTCAAATCACATATTTATCTGCTTGGATTCACACAATACCAAGGGTGAGAGAAGCAAGTGGTGTGCTATTTTGCAGACAAAGACACTGAGGTTCAGGGTGCTGAGGACGTACCCAGTATGCACACAATTTTACACATTCTGAGACTCAGGTGTTCCTGCAATTCACTTTACAGCTTTGTATGGACAAGTTCATTTTCCTGTGTAGAGAGCTAGAACTGTGTCTGCCATAATAGACAAGCAAATCAGTAACTGGCTTGGCAGAAGACTCCTTCCCTAGAATGGATGTGGCAAGTTAGAGCATAGCATGTTTGAGAGCCCTGGCAAAGCAGCCACCTTGTGATTACCCTGATCAGGCCTGCTGTGGGAGGGGCAGTCACGTGCACAACACATAGGGATGCATTCTTTCTCAGTTAAAAAAAATGCAAAATAGTCCAAAGAGTTGTGTCCCAGCTGATCCTTGTGAGTGCTCGCTCTGCTGATCAGTAGAAAGAGAACTCAAACACATCAGCCTCATTCAAGAATGCTGTGGTGCTGTGAGCCTGAGCAGGGACTTCCAGGAGTGCCAGGAAAGACTCCCTGGTGCGTGACACTGGCCCGACTCCATGCCGTGGTGTTCTGTATTGGACAAACACAGAGAAGGAGACAAAGTGGATCTGGAGGGTGGGGGCATTATTTGGGAAGCTACGAAGTTCAGATAAGATGGCATCTGGAGGAGAGGACTTCTAAGAGATTGGACACTTTGGAGTGAGAGCAAGGCTAGCTCTCTAGGAGTCATTAATAAGGACAAAAATTGTTCCTGGAGAAATGTTAAGGTCTTATGTAATGGCTAAGCATTCGTGACAATCGCAAGTGGTACTCTACCTCCTCCCACCAGCTTCATGCCTCATCTCTAGCATTTAAATTCCAAAATATAATATCAACTAGTGATCCATTCTGGTTAGCTGGGCAAACACACTAACCTACTGGCGTGCAATCAACTCTAGTTGAGAACGGCTTATTCAGAGCACGGATGCTGTTTGTCCTCATCACTTTGTACTCTCATTGTTCCTTCAGTCTGCACTACAGCAGAGCCGGGTGGTGGGGTTGTACCTCGCTCCAGGCAGGACAAGAGGTGAATGAGAGTCAGCTGCCTCGGCCTCAGGGGTCTGCAGCTGAGGAGAGATGAGAGGCTACACATGTGACATAGGCGCCTGAAGTGGGTGGAGATCTGAGCCCAGCACAGAGACCGCTTCCAGTGGGAAATAAGGGATGGAGGACTCGGTGGTGTGGGGTGGGATAAAGGAATGTGGGGGCATTTAGTTCTGGCAGTGATCACAAATGGCATAGCCCCTTGTCAGGAGCTGTAAATTTTCCCACTTGGGAAGAAGAAAGATCTAAGGAAGGCTTAGACAAGACACAAGACTGATGGGGAAGCTGGAGGCAAGTACAAGATAAAACAGGACTCAATCTAGCCCCTCCCTGCCTGACGGGTATCCATCTCCCCACCTGATACATATCCATCTCCTGACTTGACATGTGTCTATCTCTAGTTCTAAACGAATCAGGTGCGAGAAGCAACCAGACCCTAACCACAGAAGATGCCTGACTGCTGTTGGCATCTTCCACAGCCTGCATGCATGCCCAGAATGGCCCAATATTACCATTTGTGGCCTTCCTGAGTGACCATAGTGAGCCACACCGCCATTCTGAGCACAATAGGTCCTTCACAGAACACCAAGTCAGGTGCAAATCCAATTGTGTGCCATGGGCAGCAAGCCAGCACTCCAGGCTGGGTGCAGATTGAGGTGCTGTGAGCGGATGGGAACTACCACGTCTCCCAAACCGATACAAGCACCTGTTCAGCTCCCATGGGGAGGCAGTGGTTGGAACCTCTCTCGGTACTGCTATCTGTGCTTGAGCATAAGCCCTCAGTGAACCCTGTAGAGGTTGAATGTTGACCTCTTGTCACTTTCTATTTGCGAGTGAACCAAAGAACCCGGGGTGGGTAACGCTCACAGCGTCAGGCAGAGAGCCACTTTACCAGGCAGTGGGGAGCTGTCAGTGGACCTTCTGCTGAATGCCGCTGTAAAGAGACCTGAGCTGTAGAATGATTAATCTACATTGAGGGCTGGAAATGGAGAAATGCTGCAGTGAGAGAGACAGATTAGGTGGGAGGCGAGTGTGGTGGACCAGATGAGAGATCATGCAGGCCGGAGTTAAGAACAGTGATGCATGGGCTGCAAACTCTTCAGAAATTAAAATCAGCAGCTCTTGGAGACTGATTAGATGTGGGTCATGAGGGAAAAGGAACAGTCATTGATTAACAGAAAGAGTGGAGTAGCATGTTTCAGAAAAGAGAGTGATTGCAATGTGGGACACGTACAGATTTTCGAGAACTGCCATAACAAAATGCCATAGACTCAAGGTTTAAGCAATAGAAATTTATTTATTTTTTTTCACATTTCTGGAGGCTGGAAGCCCAAGTCCAGGGTGACAGCTAGGGTTAGTTTTCCCTGAAGTCTCTCTCCTGGGATTTTTCACTATATCCTCACCTGGTCTTTCCTGTGTGTATGCATTCCTGTGTCTTTCTGTGGATCCAAATATCCTCTTTTAAGGGCTTTTGTCAGATTGAATTAAGACCCACTCTAATGGCCTCATTGAACTGCATTATGTCTTTTTTTTTTCTAAAGATTTTATTTATTTATTTGAGAGATAGAGTTACAGATAGTGAGAGGGAGAGAGAGTAAAAGGTCTTCCATCTGCTGGTTCACTCCCTAATTGGCCGCAATAGCCAGAGCTGGACTGATCTGAAGCCAGGAGCCTGGAGCTTTTTCTGAGTCTCCCAGAAGGGGGCAGAGGCCCAAGAGCTTGGGCCATCTTCCACTGCTTTCCCAGGCCACAGCAGAGAGCTGGATGGGAAGAGGAGCAAAGCCGGGACTAGAGCTGGTGCCCAAATGGATGCCTGCGCCACAGGAGGAGGATTAACCTATTGACACCACAGCTCCGGCCCCTTCATTATGTCTTTAGAGGCCCTATAGTAACATGCTGATAGGACACTTCAAAATTTGAATTTTGGGAGAACACAGTTCAGCCCTTAATAGGACATGCAGAGTTTGAGATGCTGGTGGACATTGCATGAGCAAAGGTTGAGGAGAGGATGAGAAGAGGGCAAGCATGTGGTGCAGAGATTCACCTGGGACACCCACTTCTCATATCCAAGTGCCTGGTTCAAGCCCCTGCTACTCCATTTCTGATCCAGCTTCCTGCTAATATGTAGCTTGGGCGTCAGTAGGTGATAGCTCAAGTATGTGGATCACTGTCAACTATGTGGAAGACCCAGATGCAGTTCCAGGCCAGTCCTGGCTGTTGTGGGCATTTGGGGGGTAAACCAGAGATTGAAAGATCCCTCTCTTTTGTGAACCCAAGAGGCTTCCATAGCCTTGGTAGCTCATGACAAGAGCCTTGGGTGATCACTGACATCATAAATATGAGTGTCAATTCTTAAATCAACAACAGGAGTCACCTGTGTACTTGCTCCCCATGTAGGACCTCTGTCCTTAATGTGTTATACCATGAGAATTAATGGTAAAACTAATCTTCAAACAGTACTTTATACTTTGTGTGTCTGTGTGGGTGTAAACTGTTGAACTCTTTACTCAGTATAGAGTTGATCTTCTGTATATAAAAAAAATTAAAAATGAATCTTAATGAAGAATGAGATGGGAGAGGGAGTAGGAGATGGGATGGTTGGCCAGTGGGAGGGTGATTATGGGGGGAAGAATCTCTATAATCTGAAAGTTATACTTTTGAAGTTTATATTTATTAAATAAAAGTTTTTTATTAAAAAAAGAAAAAAGATCCCTCTCTGTCTCTCTGAATTTCAAATAAGATAAAAAAAAAAAAACAAGTAAAATTCTAAGCTAAAAAAATGCGAAGAGATCACTATGGGAGTCAGGGTGGTAAAGATAATAATACAATAGTGACAGCTGCTATGTGTTGAGTTGTCCGTGTATCAGCTCTGGGCTGAGCCCTGTGTACTTGAAACAATTCTCTAAAAGAGTCATTATTCTTCTTAACCTTGGTTTTAGAGAAGAAAAGGCTGAAGCTTGGAGAGGCCAGGGGGTTTTCTAAAGTTTAAGAGCTCTTAAGTAGCACAACCAGAATATAAAACTCAAAGACTTGTACTGAAGCACTAGGCTGCACCGTCTCCGAGGCAGATTTTGGGGATGTGGCAGGGGTAATGTGTAGGGAAGAGGGGCAGATAAAGAGCAGTGATAAAAGAGAATAATCGGGGTGAGATGGTGGGCTAGAGAGAAAGGTAGTTGTAGAGGCGCCACCAACAAGGCCTCATGTGTCAGCAAGAGGAGAAATAAAAATAGGTCTGTGGGCTTGATGATAGGGAGGCTGCTGGTAACCTTTGTGAGAGCTGCTTTCTGGAGAGTTGGAAGCAGGTGACAGATGGCAGTGGGTGGAAGGGAGAATGGGATGTGAGAAGAGGAGGTGGCAAGCTTTGTCATCATGGCAAGAAGGAGCGAGAGTTATGGTGGAAGGGGATGCATTATCAAGGGAAGTCTAATTTTAGAATGGACAGGAAGATCTTAAAGCATTTTTTGGTAGAAGAGAGGTTCTGAAGATGGGAGAGAGGAAATGATTTAATGAGCAAGGCATTGGCAGAGGTAGGGGTGGGAGTGTGGGACCACAGAACGAAAATGGCTTCCAAAAGGAGCGAGGACTCTTCCTCTGACACAGAGGGGGATTAATTAAGCACAAGTGATGATTTTTGATGAGCTGGGTTGACTGGCTTGGAACAAGAGAGGAGTTTCATGAATAAATAGAAGTTTCCAAAGAAAGTTAGGTACAAGAATGATGAGTGTTCCAACCATGGCTCTATCAACACAGAGATGGTTCTGTTTTCTCAATCTGTGACTTGGATCAATCCTAATATACCCAACCAAAAATTATTTGTGGACTTACCTGTGTGTGCAAAGCATTAAAAATATTGGGAGATTGATTTTACAAAGATTTCCCAACTTGTTTTTATGAGACATTCTAATCTCACCCCTAGTCTGTGACAGCAGCAAATGTAGAACATGGATCAGAGTGGGTTAAGTCCTAATCCTGGGCCTTCTCCACGTTGTCTTTATAGATGACTGTAATTGTTAGGGTTGGCCAGCGTAATAGCATACAATGAAGGGACTCA